TTTAAAAAATATATTTTTATTTAATAAAAAAAATTAAGTGCATTGGTGTTTTACCTGTATTCACACCTGTGTGAAGGTGTCAGATCTCCTCAAACTGGAGCTGCAGATGGTTGTGAGCTGACATGTGGGTACTGGAAATTGAACCTGGATTCTCTGGAAGAGCAGACAGTGCTCTTAACTGCTGAACCATCTTTCCAGCCCTCCACATGGATTTTTTTTTTAAAGAGAGAGAAAAGAAGAAAGATCTGACAAATCTCTTGTGCACTGGGCCTAATGGGAACCAGTAAAGAGAAGCCACACAGTCCTATCAAAAAGGAGAAGAATGTGGGCCCAGTGAGACCTGAGCAAACAACAAAACTAATGAACAGGAAAAATATAATACAGTACGAGAGAGAAATGTCATCGCCATGCTGCCTGCTCATTATGAGCATGTTTTAACTGACCATTTCAAGCTCAACACGGGGACTTCATTCAGTTACTAACGAATCCTCAGCACCTGCAATAATGCCTGGACATGGCGTACGCCACTAAATACTCAGTGACTAGAGGGAGGATGCAGAAGAGCACTTAGCCTCAGTCATGACATACAGAGTCAGGGAAGAAAGAAGGGAAGGCTAGAGCCTTCATCCTTTGCTCTGTATCACTGAAAACCTACCAAGTTAGGGAAGAAAGTATGAGTCAAGATAGAATAATAGGGATGGGTTGTAGTTCAGTGGTAGACCAGTTGTTTAGCATGTAGAAGGCTCCAGTTCCATCAGCAATGCCGCACACACATACATATATAAACATACACACGCGCACATGCACACACAGACCCCCCCCCCCAATATAAAAGTGTAATCCCAGAATAAATTACCAAAAGAGATACAAGTGGTTGATTGCCTGGGCTGTGGGGCACAGGGGCTGAGGTAGTGTAGAGAATTAGGCTTTGTTTGTTTCTGAGGAACAAAAGGTGTGAGGGTGGGCCCCGGAGCTTGCTTCTCCACACCTTTGCAGCAACATTCGGTAGACTGAGTTCGTCTGAGTTAGCTCAATAGAAATAGCAGCTTCCGGTGATCCCATAAAATCAGCTGTGGAACTGCCCATTTTCTCCTCTCAGGAAGTTCCTGCTCCTCCCCAGTTGACTCATTTCCCCTTCCCACCCTCTTCCTCTCCCCTATAAACAAGTACAGCAGCTCAAAGCAGCTCTTCTTGTATTGTGGAACTGTTGTGTCCAGGCCAAGGCTACCTCCGAGGGGGGAGGGGGGACCTTGAGCGAGTGCTGATGGCTCTCTGCTAGACAGTCTGCCCAGGAGCCCAGTCTTAAATGCTGTGGATCTGCATCCTGAACGACAGCACTCTCCTGGGATTTTGTTGTTGCTTGCTTGCATTTTTGTTTTGTTTTTGAGACAGGGTCTCACCAAACACATTTGTTCGCACTGTGGATCAGGCTTGCTTTGAACTTGACACGCTCTTATTTCTACCTCCCAAGTAGCTGCGATTATAGGCTTGTGCCACTATGCCTGGCCATTGTGATCTTTTTTTTATTAATTCATTATGATCTTTTTATATTTATATTTATTTTTATGCTGTACACTGTATGGCTTAGAAATAAAACTACTGTGGTAGGGCACATCAGTAGGTCATAGAAAGAGGAGGCAGAGACAGGATTGAGGACTGGAGGTCAGCCTGGACTGTATAGTGAGACCTTGTTTTCAAAAGCCCCAAACAAATAAAAGCAGCTAGGGACGTAGCTCGGTATATTAGTTACTTCTCTTGTTGCTGCTGCAAAATACCCAACAAACATAACTTAAGGAAGAAAAGACTTATTTGGGTTCAAGATTCATCATGGAGGGAAAATCACAGCAACAGGGGCCTGAAGCAGGTGGTCACATTGCATCCACAGTCAGAAATCTGAGAGAGAGAGAGAGAGAGAGAGAGAGAGAGAGAGATAACACAGCTCAGGCCATGGTGCTGTTCACATTTGGGGGGAGGGGAGAGGGTACTCACTTCAATTAATTGAATCTAGAAGCTCTCTCATAAATAAGCCTAGGGCTTTCTTTACTAGATTTCTTTTACTAGATTCTAAATACTGCCAAGTTGAATCAACCATCACGGCTATCATATGGAAGGTCCTAGTACCATAAAAACAAATAAATAAATTTAACTCTTCTTGGAAAAACTTGGTGTCACATGCAAAAGAATGAATCTGGATTCTAACTTTTGTATTTATGTGTTTGAGCATGTATATATGTGATAATGATTAAAGAAAAAAGAGGCTATGAACTTGAGAGGGGTGGGAAGAGATGGAATGGGCTAGAGGGAAAAGAAGGAGTAAGGAAATGATGTAATTATATTTTAACTTAAAATATTGTTTTGTATTTTAAATGTTATATATTAAATTTAAGAATATGTCTTTAATTGAGTTGCAAAAATAAAGGTAATTTGGATGAGAAAAAATAGAAAAATTAATTTTCAGTGAATCAAAAATATAAATGTGACACCAAAGCTGTAGAACTCATAGGGGAAGCATTATGTCAGAGTTCAGCAAGAACTACCTAGATGTGATACCCAAAGCACATGCTACTAAACTAAATGTAGATAAATTGCGCAGCCATCAAAGCTGAATTTCTATGTGCTGAAGGACATAAACAACAGGGTGAAAAAAACATGGAATAGGAGGAAATATTTATATAACAGAAGTCTGATAAAGAGTTAACATCCAGACTATGTAGAGATACAATAGGGAAAGAAAGGCAAAAGCAGAATAAAATCTGTTAATACGATCTGGTTAGGAAGCAGACAGTGAGAGGCTGGAGAGGCAGCTCGGGGGTCAAGAGCAACAGGCTGCTCTTTCTGAGGGTTCAGGGTTGGTCTCCAGTACCCCCATTGTGGCTCACACAAAGCTGTAATTGCATTTCCAGGCACTGCTTCTTCTGACCTCTGTGGGGACTAGACATTCACTCAATACCTACATGTAGGCAAACATCTATACACATAAAATAAACTCAATAGACCCAAAGAAAATGGGCAATGAACTGATATACGTTATTTCTAAAGGCCAGTGAGGACCAGAAAAATGTCAACATTATAGTCACGAGCCAAATGAAAACCAAACCTACAAGGAAACGACACACCATACTTATTAGGATGGCTAGTATTAAAAATGAGACAGTAAATGCAGATGTGGAGGTGGTGTAGAGAAATTGCAACCCACACACACTCTCCAGCAGCATGTAATGGTAGACACTACATTTATATACATTACATACAGTATATACATTATACATACATTAAAGTATGACTATAAGCAAACAAGCAAAAACATTGAAACTATGGGCTCCAGAGATTGTTTCTGTCTTAATTAGGTTTCCATTGTTCTGATAAGGGCCTTCGACCAAAAGCAATTTAGAAGAAAGGGTTATCTGGAGGCAGGAACTGCCTCAGAGACGATGGAAGAGATGCTTCCTGGCTTATTTCTCATGGCTTGCTCAGAAGGCAAATTATGTAAAACCTGTCAAGAAAGCGAGGCTTGGTGCAGTGGTTCATAACTGTAATCCTAGCCCTCTGGAGGCAGAGGGAGGAGATAAAAATATCCAGTGCAACCCTTGACCTCTACAAGGTGAGGTCAGTCTTGGTTACCTGAGATCCAGTCTCAAAAACAACAAACAAAAGATACAACAAAGTTCAAAGATGAAAAAACTCTGATTCCACTAATTATTAACTGTAGGGGAATATTATTAAATCCATATATGGTACACACACACACACACACACACACACACATGAATGCACACACAAGAGCACTCACATGTACACACACAAATGATTTTGTTGGAATAGGATTAAATATAGATGTTGCCTTATATTTTCTGGACAGGGTCTCATTATGTAGTCAAGGCTGGCATTGAACTTATGACGTTCCCAGGTCAGCCTATTAACTACTGGCATTTCAGGCCTGCCTCATAGTGTTCAACCTTGATGTCATTTCAACTTAAAAAGTATATCATTTAAATTTTTTTATTCGACAGATTTTTTAAATGAAAATGAAGCACGCCAAAGTAAAATTTCAATGATGCTTTCACAATAAAATATATAATTCTCATTAATAGAAAATCATAAGAGTTGTCTATAGAGAAGGGAGGTGGGGAGGAAGGGAGGAACAATGAGAGCTCATGAGAAAGCAGTACAGCTTGATCTCAGATAACATCCAGTGTTTTTCTTCTTGGAAGATGAGGAAATCATTAGCTCACTCTTCCTTCCTTCTTCCTTTCTCTCTGAAACAGGGTCTCACGTAAGCCCTTGAACTGACCTTAAACTTGCGACCGTTCATTTCAGACCACAGGGACAGTTTAAAAAGAGGGGGCAACGTTGGCTATTTCCTGTGGAAGGGGCATGATGAGAGAGTTAGGCTCTGTTCCCGGGATCATAGGGGACACAGGCTGCGTTTGGAGCAGTATTATCTCAAGTCGGGGACAGTGAGTGCCCTGTGCTCCTAGACGCTAGGTAGGACCTAGAGGGAACTTTTGAAAAATAGTTGTTAGAGGGTGGAAAACAGATGATTTGGTTTCAGGGTGAGACTGAGAGTTTGTCCAGGAACCTGGAGGGAGGGGAAGGGCTCAGTTCTACAAAGATGTAGCGTGGGAGGGATACGGATCCACGGTGACTAGGTCTACCAAAGCAAGTTACCGGAAGCAACAGGAGCCAAGGCACACTGAAGAAAGGGAGCCAGAGGAAGGAGAGGACTGATGTAAAGAGCTGGATCTGGTCTGGGGCGAAAGAATGACAGCGCCTTGTAGCCAGAGCTCCTCCACAGCGTCCAAAAGGTCTTGTGGATGTTATCAGGGGTGGATGGAGCTGTGGAAGGGTGAGATTCACGCACAACATTTATGGAAGATGAGACCAGTAAGTAAAACATTTAAAAGGACATTCAAAAGGTAAGTATAAGGATGATAAGGAGCCTCAGACAACAGTGAGGGTTAAGAAAGGCCACGTGAGTAAAGTTCTCAGGAGTTCCAGTTATATACAATCACAAGAAGATACGAGTCCCGTGTTGTCCTTGCACAGGGGCTGTGCTAATCTTGTCTGTATTGTTCCAATTTTAGCATATGTGAGGCTGAGCCACATTTTCACTCTCATTCTTGGGATCTCACTGTGCAGAGCAGGCCAGCCTCAGGTGCTCTGTGAAGCTCTGGACGGGAGAGTTGCCTTGACCCACATACCAAGCCTGCTGGCCCACCACTTTGAGCCCTCTAACAATTCATTCACTGTCATTGCATTTACTTCTAATTTTGCTTTTTACTATGAACAAAATTAAGCTGGGCCAAGTTAACAGCTTGTTTAGACAAGCATTTATCCATGAGTCAGTTTGTGGCCCAGGAAAACTTTTAGATTTTCCTTAGAAGCCAGTAACTGTGTTGTGTAAAAATTGTATCAACATTAAAATAAAACATTAAAAATTACAAAAAAGATTCAAATTAGCAAAGATGGCTGCCAGAATATAGAGTTGCTTCTATCTTGATGAAATCCCCCAGTTTTCTGCTAAAGGTGAACTCAGCCCTGTGGTAAAGTAAGCCCATCCCCCATGGGGCATTGTACATTCCCATGGAATTCTTCATTTTGAGGCTCAAATGTGGATTGTTACATCCTTCTCTTTAAAAGGACACTTAGGTAGGTTAGTGTGGAAATAGGCAGTGATAGTACCTATGGCTTAGGCAGGTAGGCTCAAACTACAGAATAATAAAGAGACTGAGGAAGGGATTGCGTGGTCTCAGATCAAGAAAGCTGGGTCCATGAAAAAAGCTGGTGCTGTAGCTAGTAGCTAGAATCACAGCACAGGTTTCTATCAGAAGAATAACTTCCGAAGAATGCCACCAGCCCATTTCCAGGATGAGGCAGGAAATGGGCTGCTGCCTGGCTCTTCTTTTCCCGGTCACAGAATCGGAGGGCCAGCCTGACCCAGGGCGTCTCGAGAAGCACAACTGTTCTTTAATCAGAACAGCTGAAGGCCACAGTCTCTCCCCAGAAGGGAGGCTGTGCACACGTGGTGTGGGGTCTTGAGATTTTGTAGATGGAAATGGTGGGGTTGGGGAAATGGGAGAGTTAATCTGCAGGGCAGTTCTCCTTTAATCTCAAAGCGGTAGACGCCAGCAGGCTTGGTATGTGGCTGTCCTTATCAGCGGTCAGGGCCCCTTTCCTGTCCAGAGCTTCCCAGTGCACGTGCGGCTATCCTATCTCAGAAGCCAGCAGAACGCTGCTACTACTGCACTGTTATTTGGACACAGAGACTCAGGCTCAGAGGTAGGAAAAGGAGAAGGATGGGGCTGAGGGTGTAGCTTGCTGGTAGACTGATGGTCTAAGCTGCAGCAACCCAGGCTCAAATCACCACCATTACAGAAGTGACTAAAGGGAACAGGAATCAGAATAAACAACCCTAATAAAGAAATGAATAACACAGAGAAAAACGGGAGATAATCACAGTAAATGCAGGTGACTAAGACAAAACCAAATGAGGGCTGGAGACTCTAAGAGAGCTGGACAACAGATATTTGTTCAAAGAACCCATCAAACAAAAGAAGTTATATTAAAATTGAAGAATTTTGTGAATTTTGTGGCTGGTCCTTGCTACTTTGTGGGGTTTTTTTTTTCCCACCCTTCATCCCCACCTCCTCTGGAGACAGAGAAAGAAGGATAGAGGGGGGAGAGAGGGAGACAGGGAGAGAGAGACCCCTGAATCTAATTTCTACCTTCTTGTTTCTTCTTTGAGCACAACTACTAACAAACTACAACCACCACCCCCCATTTCCTCAAAATGACCAGCAATGACCAACCCCACCTTGAGGGACTCTAGCATTTATTTACCCTCTGAAAAGTTCCCAGAATTCCAAACATCATACAATCGCAGCTGCAGCTGCCAAAAGCACGCCTCTGCTTGAGCACGAGGTAAATCACAGCTGCTGCAGACAGTCCAAAGTGACCTCACGTCCCTACACCTGGAATTAAATCTTACAATATTCTTACAATATTTCTGTTTTTCTTCTTAAACCAAAATTCCAGAATTGTCACTACAGGACTTCAATTCTTAGGAAAAAGGCAAAAAGCAGCCACATTCTTTGCCTACATATCACAAGAATGGTCTGTAATCTGGTTGCTAATATTGTTCCCTTCTGAAACCTGGGTCTCCACAGTCCACATTATCCTTAGCACCATTGTCTTTCATGTTCCTACTGGTATGGCTCATTAAACCCTGCTTACAGCGTTCAGCTGCTTTCCTAGTCCAAAGTCTAAAATTCTTCCACATTCCTCAATTTAAAAAAAGAAGCCAGCACGGTCATGTCTGTCACAGCAATACACGACTAGTGGTACAAACTCTTATCTTAGTTACTTTTCTGTTTCCATGACAAAACACCAGGACCAAGGCAACTTATCAAATCAAACGTTTAATTTGGGGCTCACAGTTGCATCTAGTTAGAGTCCATGGCTGACATGGTAGGAAGCATAGCAGCAGGCAGGTAGGCATGGCACTGAAACAGTAGCTGAGAGCTCACAGGTTGAGTCAACCATAAGGCAGAGAGAGAAGGAGCTAACTGGGAATGGCCTGGGCTTTTGAAAATTCAAAGCCCACTCCTAGTGACACACCTTCTTCAATAAAACCATACCTTCTAATTCTTCCCAAATAGTTCTACCAACTGGGAGCCAAGCATTAAATACATGAGTTTAAAGGGGCCACTATCAATCATACAACGCTACAAGGCCTATGTAAGATTAAGTTTCTACCCTTTCTAAAAGATTTGTCACTTAAAAACCTGCTTGAAGGCTTACAAAGGCATCTACTAGCATGCATCTGCCAGAAATCATACACACACACACACACACACACACACACACACACACACACACACACACATACACACACACACCGGTAAATTAGAGGGTGTATCAGTGTGCTTTTACTGTGTGATTTTTAAAAAAAAAGCAGCTTGGTGAGGAAAGCATTTATTGGATTACATGTCTCAGTCTTTATCACTGAGCAAAGCCAAGGCAGAGAATCACAGCAGGAACCAGGAGTCAGCAACTGATGCAGAAACCATGAAGGAACACAGCCTGCCAGCTTGCTCTCCTTGGCATACTCAGCTTGGTTTTTGACACAGCTCAGGACCATCTGCCTGGGCATGGCACCACCTACAATGGTCGGGGCGCCCCCTACATCAATTATTAGTCAAGAAATGTCCCACAGACTTGCCTACAGAACAAGCATAGGGAAGGATTTTCTCAACTGAGGTTCTGTCTTTTCCACATGGCCTTGTGTCAAGTTGACACAAATCAACACAGGCTGAAATACAGAAATCCTAAAAATGAAAGAATCATGAAAACAAATGATGTTCTTTCTTTCTTTCTTCCTTTCTTTTTCTCTCTCTCTCTCTCCTTCCTTTCTTTCTTTCTCTCTCTCTCCTTTCTTTCTTTCTCTCTCTCTCTCCTTTCTTTCTCACCTTTCTTTCTCTCCTTCCTTCCTTCCTTCCTTCCTTCCTTCCTTCCTTCCTTCCTTCCTTCCTTCCTTCCTTCCTCCTTTTTCTTTCTTTGTGTAACAGAGCCCTGGCTGTTCTATACTTGCTTCGTAGACCAGGCTGGCCACAAACTCACAGCGATCTGAATCCCTCTGCCTCCCATGTGCTGGGATTAAAAGCATGCACCACCACTCCTGCAATACATTATCAATACAACAGAAACGACACCTTTTTTCTCTCTCTCTCTCTTTCTGAGACACTGTTTCTCTGTATAGCCTTAGCTGTCCTGAACTCAATTTGTGAACCAGGCTGGCCTGGAGCTTACAGAGGTCTACCTGCCTCTGCCTCCTGCTGGGATTACAGGCGTACACCACTGAAACTATATTTTTTAAAAGGAAGTAAACTGTAAAAAATTATAAATTGTGACATCAAGTATTTAAAATGTATGAAGTTATAAAGATTTTTCAGCAATAAAATTTAGCAGCCTAAAATAGTTTCTTTTAACAATTGGATGTTTTCTGCGAGCCTGAGAGTAACCACAAGTCAAAGCTGTAATAGATTCACTGGAAAATAAAATAAGAAAACAGCAAGGGACCAAGCACTGTACTATAGAATTAGCATGACCACAAGAGAAAACCAAGAGAGACAAAGAATCTCAATAAGAGGCAATTACAAAGCCTAGGTACTACCCCTCTGTCAATGATCATTCGAAAGTAAAAGTAATTTAAAAACTTAAAGACCTAACATGATACAGCCCAAATAACATTTCATACATAAGGCTGAAGTGGAAGGGTTAGAAAAAGATTCCATACAACTGGGTGTGTAGAAATGCATCTTACAATCATAGCAGTTGAGAGGGAGAGACAGAAAAACCACCTATAGCCGGAGCTGAATAATGAGCTTTAGGCCAGCCAGGGGTACATAAAAGCCATCTTGTGTTCCATCCCAAGCCTACTGAGTCATCTGACCGTAGCCCACACTCACCAATTCCAACACCCAGGACTAGCCCAGGTCTCAAATTAGCACTGGTGTAACCTGAGAAGTCACTGGATCCTTGCCATCCCTTGCCATCCCCAACCCTCAGGCATAGCCTTGTTCACACAGCCTGTGTGCTGGTCTAGCCCTGTGAGTGCCCACGACCCTGGCCCACTCACACCATCCCCTCACTCTCAGGCATAACGAAGATAGCACAGCTTGCACCAGCCCAGGCAAATCAGGGCCTGTGTCCCATTCTCAGACTTTCTTGGTTACCACTGAATTGGAATCACCCTATTCCCCCAATGCAAAATCAACGTGGAGTATCTGAAGGATTGACCTATCACCTGTTTATGACAAATCCAAAATCAACCAAACTTGGACAACAACGAAAGCAAAACCAAACTTCCACTCAGGAGACACATAGCTAGTGAGAGAAATCTACATGCCCAGGCCTCATCACAAAAACATAATATGAAAAGTCAGTATAGTACAGCCCTCCTCTCCAAAATCCATCAGTTCTATAGAAATGATCTACAGTGAGAATTAACTAGATGAACCCAACAGGACACAGCCTTTTAAAGATCATAAACGTCACCAAAAAAATTCAGGAAGTTTAAAAAAGACACAAACAGCTCAATGAACT